TACGAGCGCGCACTCTCTCACCGGTTCGGTACCGAACACGGCCGGCATACCCTCGGCTGTCTCGGGCACCAGCACCAGCATGGGCTCGCACTCGGGTGCGCCTGGTAACAGTCCCACACGAAGCGTCACTGGTGCAATGAGCTCTACGGGTCTCGGCGATGAGCCTTGCAGCAGCCCTACGGCATCCACACCTGGTGCAACGCCCACATCTGCTCTTCCACCCGGCGTCTCGAGGTTGGGCACGGCGAGTCAGCAAGCAGCGGCGAACAGCAGCTCATCGCACACTCAGCACAGTCCATTGGCGAGCACCTCGGTAGCCACGTCGCGAAGAGCCTTGGCAGCGCCCAACTCGGGCAGCTCTAGTGGCGGGCCGAATTCAGAGTCCACCGCTCCTGCAGTCGGTTCAGCCTCTGCCATTGGGGGTGCAGTGGGTGCCTCTGCAGGGTCAAGCAGCATCTCGTCGGGCGCACCAGAGTCCAAGTCGAGCAATGCAGGTAGCAGTGCTGACAATCCTTACAAGAGCTTCCGGGTCACGCTGGACGACCCGTGCCACAAGGTCTTGCCCGCTGCGCTCAAAAAGTACAAGATCAACGACGATTGGAGACAGTACGCTTTGTTCATCTGCTATGGTCAGACTGGTGAGTAGTTGTGTGCCGTGCAGGCATGCGATTGCGTTGCCAAAGCTAATCGCGCGGCTCCTTTGGTGATAGAACGCTGCCTCAGCTACGACGAAAAGCCACTTTTGCTGTTCCAGAAGCTCAAAGAAGCAAAGCAGAATCCAGTCTTTATGCTGCGACATATCCGCGACGTCAAGTCGCCAATCGCAATAGCCAATGCGAAAGCTGCTCAGCGCAAGAATAGTCTCGGAAACGCAGCCAGCAAGGAAGGAGCTGCGGAGACCTCAGACGCGGCTGGCGACCCTCATTCTGGCAGCTCGGGCAAATCTCAGGCGAGCAAGGGCGGGAGCCCGGGAGGTGGCAGGGTGGCGGAAGCTGTGGCCAAGTTCGGAGGAGGAGGGGGAGGAGGGTCTGGGGGGAGCGGAGGCAAAGCAAAGGATGGGACGGGAGAAGCGGAGGATCGCGGCGGAGAGGATGGGATGGTCGTTGCGGGCGGACAAAATGGCGAGCCCTTCATCAGTGGCCCCGCAGCCAGGTTGCCGCCGGCAACTGCACCTCCAACTTACGCCATTGCCATCTATCCATACGTCTCCGAAAGAGCAGACGAGTTCGATGTTGGCGTTGGCGATACGTTTGTCGTCCTTAGCAAGGCCAAAGGATGGTGGGTGGTGCAGCGCGACACGAAAGCGATGGGCAAGGGTGATGTGGTCCCACGGAAAGC